CAAAAACCTTCTCCACAAACAAACCCTCTGATCCTGGCCATGACTGAATGCAAGCCAATGGCTATTCTTTTGCTTTCCATTTATTTATTCTCTGTCTTAGCTCTAAGGGATTATCCAGCTCCCTGGGTGTATGAAGCAGGCACCTTTTGCTGAGTGCTGTTCTAGTCGCTGAAGATGCTGTTACAAACAAATCAGAGACTTCAGAGAACACATAGCCTAGCAGGGGAGAGGAGGGAAAACACAGAATGTGGTCAGTATTACAACAGAAAAAGTATGGCATATGGCAGCATATGGCATCGTGGTTGATCCCCGCTTTGCCTCTCATATAATCTTGGATGAGTTACTAAAAGAACACATAGCCTAGCAGGGGAGAGGAGGGAAACCACAGAATGTGGTCAGTATTACAATAGAAACAGTATGGCATATGGCATCGTGGTTGATCCCCACTTTGCCTCTCATATAATCTTGGATGAATTACTAAGTCTTTCTGTGCTTCAAATTTTGTATCTGCAAAATAGGGATGATAATAATAGCCCCTATTTTGCAGGACTGTTCTATGGATTGAGTGAATGAATATGTGTCAAGCCTGGACATCAGAAACACTTAATGGGTCACAGGTATATTCCAACAAGGTTAAGCCCAGGAAGAGCCCCTGATAGGAGAGGAGGGCAGTGGTGGTCAGGAAACAAAGATAGCACCCAGGGTTCTGGCTAGGTGGATAGTGTTGCCATTTACTGAGATTTGGAACAAAGAATGAAGAGAAAGTCTCAGGTACGGTGATGAATTCACTTTTGAATCTGTTGAAGGTCTTTTGTTACTACTACTAGCGGCCCAGTGTACAAATTTGTGCATGGGTGGGGTCCTGCCAGCCCACCCCGATGGGGTCAATCAGGTGGGGCTGGCGGGGGGAGGGGCCTCGGCCCTGCCCCCTGCGTGAACTCCCAGTGGAGGGGAGAATTTGCATATTAGCCTTTTATTATATGGGATTGCTAGGCATTACACTATGTACTGCATATGAATTATCTATGAATTATCTCATTTAGTA